GACTGAGCCACTGCCGGGTCAACACCTTCCAAACTGAGGACATACCCTTTCAAGGTGCTGTTGTCCTCGAGCGTCAAGGTCATTGGCTTTCCAAGGCCCAGCTGCTTCGGCCCTAGCCCGTTGCAGAGTCTCGTGAGCTCTGACACGCTCACGTACAAGACGTCGTAGTACACACAAATCAATCGCTCATTGCGGGCACGCACGTGTGTGGGCGGGAGGATTTCCGGCGTCGGCTTGCCTGCCAACCGGGCCTTCAAAAGCACCCTGGCAGCGGTGACAACAGCTCTGAAGTCTTTGTTGTCTGGATCGCCCTTGTCGTGGTACTTATTGGCAAAGGCCGCGAAAGTCATTTCCGGCCAGCAACTCACGCAAACCTCCCGACAAACGCGGCAAGCGTCGCCTGTCGCCACGTTGTCAGTGAACTCGGGCCACTCCGCTTCCTGCGATGGCTGATGGGTTCGAACATTCGAGCAATGAAGCACTCAGTCCAGTTTGCTAGGCTAGTGGGTAGCGGCTACACTGCTATGCTGCTACACTCAGCAAGAACCCTGTCCAAACAACCAGCGCTTCAATCATGCATCCCATCACACGAGTCACAAATGATTTGACAACGAGCTCATCTATTGACAACAGACTCCACACTCCAGACCTTGGAATCTTCACTCCAAAGACTTCTTTGGAGACACTTCAACGTCGCATACCTGGCTAAACCATTATGCGTCTTCGGAAGCTCACAACCTGGAAAATCAGGCGGGGCCGTCCTGTGGAGTCTTCAAGCACAACGAGCACTTCGTAGCAGCCTTAGGCTTTTTCTTGAGTATTCCCCCGCTCTTCACAGTCTTCTTCGCCTTGCCCTTGCCACCCTTTTTCTTCTTGAGCTGGAGCTTTGAACGCTTCGAAGCCACCGAAGCACTTGCACTTGCAGCAGCTGCAGCCTTGCCTGGCCTTGCACCCTGCTCCGCCTCATCCTCGAATTCCTCGGGAAGGTCCGTGGCCTCGTCCTCCGCAGCCTTCTGGCAGGCTGCACATAAAACAGACAGCGGAGTTTTTGAGGATCAACTTATGGACATATGGGCAGCAGAATCTGACTATGAACAGCGGGATGGGAGCCATACCATTGAGTCAAGGCAGCACATGAACAGGGCAGGAAGAAATGCCTGAGACGGTCATAGCTGTAGCTGTAGCTATCTGCACATCAAAAATGACTGTTTTTTCTGACCAATCGAACTGAGGATGAATCATGACGATTCGACCGTGACAGTGACTATGCTTTTGAGGGGAGGCAAATGCTTCCCACGTTGCCACACTGCCACACACACACGACCAATGTAATAGTACTGGTGATGCTGATAGTAATAATCATAGTGACATAGTGAATGCTATTAGCAGATACAATAACCATCACGATGGTAGGTAGTCAGGTAGTGGCAAGTAGTGTGAGCAGTGATAATGGGAAGAGTCACAGTCACAGCAACAGCAACAGCAGCGGCAGTAGTAACGGTAACGGCGACAGCAGCAGCAACAGCAGCAGCAACAGCAACAACCAAGAGAAGAGTAAGACCGAGTAAGAACAACAGAGTAACAGTAAAAATAATAGCAATATGAATAGCAAAAGCGAAAGCAGAAAGCAATAGTAATAGCATTGATACAAACAAACGTATTACTTTTTCTATTAACAACAACTACTACTACTACTACTACTGCTACTATTACGACTACTACTCATACTACTACTACTACTACTACTACTACTAATACTAATCTAATACTAATCTAATACTAATACTAATTCTAATACTCAAACTACACTATTATTGCGATCACCACTGCTGCTACCCTTTCTGCTGCGGAAACTACGACGGTGATGGCTGTTGATCCTGCCACCTCCTGTTGCTGCTGCTCTTGTTGCCACGTTTTCAGCATTCTCGTACTTTTGCTGTGGCGGTGTTTCTCACGGTCATGAGAATTGAATTGGTTTTGGCATTGTCAGTATTGCTACTGCCGACGCTGCTCGTGAGGTAGGAGGATTCAACCAACCATTCCCAGCCAAATCCAACTCATAGATCCCCAGTGGCGAGGCGGAGAAGGTGAGCTGCGATAGCCTCCGACAGGTGCTCTGGGCAGCTACGAACATATGTTCGCCGTCCTATTCTTGTCTTTGTTTATTGTTTACTAGTCGAAAGTTGAATGTGCCATCGTTATAGTCGATGTCGTCCTCGTCGTCCGTCGTCGGGGTCCATGCCATCATCTTACTTTTCGGTCGGTGTCCTCGCCAGCCATTTTCTCAGCAACCATTGAAGGAGACGGAAAGACTCCGGCAAGAGCAAGCGGCTTCCTACAAGGCCAGCTGCAAGATGTATGTGCATTCCGAACCCTGGCATTAGGATGAAATTAGTGCCTAGCACGAGAAGATGATCGTGCTGTTTGCGGTGTTTTTGTGACGAAGATCTTACCGCGCGCGATTGCGATCTCTCGGTGTAATGTGACCTGATCGTTGACGATAGATGAACACTCAAGACGACCTTGAGGCCGTTTCGAGTGTGAAGGCAGCCTTGGTGGCGCCAGGCATGCTTCTCATGAGGACATTTGTGCGACCACTTGCTCCAACTTGTCGCGCTGTTCGCTGCCGGCGATCAGTTTGACCATGGACTGGCCTGGCTATGTTTGGGATCTATATCCGATAATCAGATGGTTTTTGTGACATATCCAAATCTTACCTGTGCTTCGCGTATGGACGAGTTCACAGTAAGATATCGACGTGCTGCCGAGACACATCCAAATTTTACAAGATAAAGATAGTTCCCCAAGAAGATTTCCATGAGTCGTGCTGAGTTGTATCCAAATCTTACGGCGAATGCTTTTGACGGGGTGTGAGCTTGTAGGGTTAAGGCTGAGGGCCTACTGGTGCTGGCCTTTAGGGTTTCGGGTCTGGTGGGGTTGTTGGGGTCCCATGCGCACGTGTCCTCCCATCGCTGTGAACAACAACTATCCGCGTCCACGTCCGCATGCTCAGTCCCATCCCGCCCTCGCAATCCCTCCCTGTGCCAGCCAGCCCTGACGGGGTGCCAGCCTGCCAGCCTTGACGCATGCCAGCCTTGGCCTTCAGCCCTCTTTAATTCATTGTTAATCACCTGTGTGGGGGTCCACCATGGGGGATAGAGGGACATGCCAGCCTGTGGGCTCCATGTGCCCCATAATCCTATAAGTCTCCCCAAATGCTGGGCCGTTTCTATGCGGGTGTCCCTGGGGGTGGCCTCTTGCAGACCCGATACAGGAGCACTCCGATCGACTAACAACAGCTTCCGAGGCCTTCTTAAAGACAATCCGGAGACCACCGACTTGCAAGTCGCAGCCTTTGCGTAAGCCCTGAGTGCACAAAAAGGCCCAGAAGAATCCCAGAAGAGAAGCAGAGCGTTTGGGGTTGGCCTCAGCAGCGCTGGTGAGCTCCCTGTTTTTAGCACCGATTCGCCCCCCTCCTTATGCTGAAAGCTTGGATCCAGCAGGCGGCGGTGGAGGTTCCCTCTGAGCAGCTCCTCTCCTTGGAGGCCAAGCAGCTTTTGCCTTCTTTCTCGGGGTGGCGAGGGCTGCTTCGTTCGGGCTTAAGGACGAAGGTTTGGGGTTTGGGGTCCGAGGAGCTGTTCTGGCTGTGATCAGTATTGTCAAGGCCAAGGGAAGCAAGAATCAGATGAGGAGCTGGTAGTTTCCACTTGGCCATTGGTTTTCGTTTCACCGTATCGGACGTATCGGTACTTGTAGTGGCTGGTACTTGTAGTCGTTATAGCAGCATCATTGGGCAGATTCCTAATGGTGTTTTTGCAGAAGTGTACGATAGGGTCATTCTTATCGTCTCGCTCGGACTATAGGGTCATCATGGTCGACAGTATCATGATGTCTGATGATAGCTGTGACGAGTTGCCAAATGTGATGTTGCGGAAATTGTTTGTGGCTGTGAGTGCCGTACACATGGTTGAACGCTGTGGTCCGCAGACATGAGCTCTGACTGTGATTGCTCCCATTGTTAACTGATGGCCGCACGCTCGTTATTCATCTCGCTATGATGATGACCTCTCTTCATTCTGCAGCGGGTCTATCAGAACTGTCAACTCTGGCGGCCAGGGTTCAATCTCGGAAATCCAGCACTCGGCAGATTTGGAGCTCTCGAGCCGCATGGCGGCCAGAAGAGGGCATGGGCCTAGGGCTAGGGCCGGGTTTAGCGTCCAAGGTTCGCTCAATCGAAGAACAAGACGGGACATTAACATGAATCGTGCAAAAGAAGCAACCCGAAGGGCAGCTGAACAGACTCAGCGTCGGGTCCGTGTTCCTCATGTTGCAAGAACTCCTTGACTATGAAAGTAGGTCGCGTTTCATCCTCGATCCAGGACATGCCGTCGAGTGGCAACGGCTGACCTCGTGAGACGCCACACTAGTTACTAGTGCAACCCGCTTGCACAAGCCTTCTAATCAGAGGCCAACTTTTCATGCAACCTCTACACACGATTCGATCATACAGTCCAAGTTTTTGATTGAGCCAGTTGAGCATCACATATTCCACGGCACTGGTCGTTGCTGCAGAATCCGAAGTCAGCACCAGAAAAAACACGACCATTGGCTCCTAGGCTACGAGAACTGACACGCACTAGTTCGATCATGCTGCTGAGTGCTCTTGCTTTATTGCTGCTGCTGCTGCTGCTGTTCCTCCTCCTCCTCCGCCTCCTCCTCCTCCTTGTCCTCCTCCTCCTCGTCGCTATATGTACCATTGACTGTTACTAGTACTCGTGCTAACTAGTAACTCCAACAAGCAACCGCTGCTACAACTACTACTACCACTACTACCCTTACTACCAGTACTACCAGTACTACCACTACTACCACCACTGCCACCACCACCACCACCACCACCACCAGTACAACTGCTACCACTACCACTACCACTA